ATCTCAAGTTGTGGCTATTTTGATGAGTAAAATGGTAAGGTTTTAGGATTTTTCCTGAGGTTATTTTAAGGTTTGGGTTCACATGGGAACTATTAAACAAGGAACAGGCTTTTACTGCACTTCAGATATAATGCAACAATGTAGGCATTAGGTTAACTTTATGGTACTTGAGGTTTTCAGGAATGTCTGCCATCTTTGCCAAGATGGGCATTTCTTTCCCTCTTTCCCCTCTGTACTTCCCTTTTCCCCTTCCTGATTACTTAGTGGCATTCAGTGCGTTGAAGAGAGGGCTCTTCCAAGTATTTAAAGCTACTTTTCAGTTAAACACTTCAAGTGAGTTAGGCCTTGAGAAAACAGTCCTTTGACTACATTGTTGGTACTACTGAGTATTCTATGTATTTTCAGAAAAGAGTGAGAGGTTCTGAATTTGTATTATACGATCTTGGTGGTTAACTCATATACCTAAAAAGATAATACTAATATTTACAGTCACAGTACAGATAAAGAAAACATGAAATATGGAAAGTCATACAGTTTTCTGTCAAGGTACTTGATGGAGGTATTAGGTTGGAGAGAATAATCAGCAGAATAACATTAAGAAAGTCATCCAGAATAACAAAGGCATAAACGATGCCACAAAAAAACATATATAACAACTCAAATGTTATATGTTATTTCTTGTTCATGTGGAGTTGAAAATGGATATTTCTGATAGATGAGTGGCTCCTTTGGAGACACAGGTTCTTTCTAACTTATAGCTCCAAGTTTGTCATAGCCACCTGCATTAAGTTGGAGAAAGGTGAAAGGGTATGGAAGATTCCATGTGGTAGGTTTTTATTGGGCCAGCCTAGGAATAATGTATATAGCTTTTGCTATATATATGTAGACCGTTATAAGGATTTTTTTTTAATGTGACAGGAAGCCATTGAAGGGTTTTGTGTAGTCAGTCACTATCTGACTTTACCCATGCTACTACTTTGAGAATACAGGGGGGTAAAGGCTAGAGCAGTGACAGTAGACAGGAGGTCATTGTAATAATTCAGACAAGAGATGATGTCTTAGACCAAGGTGGGAGTGATGGAGGTGGTAAAAAGTGGTCAGATTATAGATTTATTCTGAAGGTAAAACAGACACAATTTGTTGATAGATTGGATATGTATTGTGAGAGAAAGAAGAGCAGAAGGATAGCTGCAAGATTTTTGCCTGAGTAAGAAGATTATGGAAAAGAGTAGGTTTGAGAGAGAGAATCAGTTCAGTTTCGGCTTTGTTGACATCTTAGTAGCATCATATTGTAAATTGTTTTGTATTTTTTATTTCAGATATAGCAATATATATTGAACATCCTTCCATTCAGTTCTAGGCATCGTCCCATGTCAGTACATATAGATATACTGCATTCCTTTTAACAATACCTTTCATTGTTGTATTTGAAAAACGTGTGTGCCAGGAACTATTCTATGCCCTTTATAAATATTAACTCACTTAATCCTAATATCAGCTCTAATATGCTATCATTATTCCTCAATTATAAATAGGGAAACTGAGGCCCAGAGAGGTTAATATACTCAAGGTAATATAACTTGGAAGTAGCAGTCACTGTATTGCGGTTCGTTGTATGACTATCATAATTCATTTCACCAACCAACTAATGACAAATTTGGGAGTGGTTCCAATTTGGGAGTTAGTATAAGATGTGTTGCATAGAGCATCCATTTTCATATCTTTGGGCATTGATGTGTTTCCGGAGGATAAATAAGAATAGTAATGCTGGGTCAAAGACTATGCACCTTGCTTATTTTAAGAGATATCACCAACATAACCTTCGAAAGAGTAATTCCAATTTATCCTCCCATGATGCCCATCTTTTTTTCTTTCTTTTATAAGTCTTCAATTTGGTAACATTTTTACTCATCTCCCTATAAAATTTAGTGGTAAATCAGCACAACTTGTTTGTAATTGTTCTGAATAGTCTGTTTAAATCCTGTGTTATATGTTAAACTTACAGCAGTTGTTGGAGAACATAAAGAATGAGTATGCAAGCCAAAGAAACTGCATGGGTGAATGCTAACACTTTTGTGTTTGGACTGAGGTGAGGTGGGGCTGTACACACAGTAATTTATCAAGTCACTAACTCTTTCCCAAAGGTAACCACTGTCCTGATTTAGAACACATTATATTAGTTTTAGATTAGTTCTGTATGTCTTAGGTTAGTTCTGTATGCCTTTGAACTTTGTATTCTTTTGCTTCTGCTTCTTTCCCTCAATGGCTTGTTTGAGATTCATCCATGATGTTGTGTATAGCAATGATTTGTTCATCTCGTTGTATAGGATTCCAGTACATAAATATTTATTCATTCTGCTGTTGATGGACATTTAGGTTGTTTCCAGGTTTGGATTATTACAAATAGTGCTGCCTGGAGCATTGTTTTAAATGCCCTTTGGTAGACACATTTATGCATTTCCTAGCAATGAACTTGTTTTGTCATACGGTTGGCAAATATTCAGATTTGTTAAATCTTACCAGACAGTATTCAAATTGGTCATAACAATTTGTACTCCTACCAGCAGTATATGCGAGTTCTAGCTGCTCCACATCCTTACCAGCATTTTGTGTATTGTGTTCTGCCTTTTGGTTATTCTGACAGGTACATAGTGGTGTTGCACTTTGGCTTTATTATGCATTTCCAAGATGATTAATAAAGTTGGAAGGGGTGGAGGATGGTAGAAGAGGAAAAGAGGGATCAAATATATGGTGAAAAATTATAAAAGTGTACTCTTGAAATTTTACTAACCAATGTCACCCCAATAAATCTGATTAAAAAAAAAGTTGGATACATATTTTACTTGGCAGTTTGATACCTTTGAATTGAAATATCTGTGACTAGATTCTTTCCATAAGAACAGAGAAGTTTTTGGTTGAAGTAAAAACGCGTACTCTATACTATTTCCCCCCCAAGTAAAATTTTAAAGTAGATTCCAGATTAAAAGGAATATTTCTTGAGGGTCAGTATAGCATGATCATTAAGAGCAGATTCTGGACCTGGATTCCTTCATTACGAAGCCTAGTTTTTCCACTTATTAGCTGTGTGACTTTGGGCAAGTTACTTAACTCCTCCTTGCTTCAGTTTCCTCATCTCTCTCTAAAATGAATGTATTAATACTTTCATCATAAGTTAATATCAGGCTCAAATAAGATAGTTTATATAAAGTGTGTAGGAGTGTGTATGTAATAAGTACTATATAATGTTAGCTGTTAGTGGTGGTGGTGATGATGGTGATATAAATTTATTTTATGAATTCATAGCAAGTGAGCTGATGAGACTAATGAGGTTCTATTGTGGGGCACAAATTTGAAATTGAGGGTTATGGATAATAGTTGTGAATTTCTTTTGACCTAAGCATCCTTTTTATTTTTTTGGCTGCATAATACCAAGAAAGTCTTGATTCGTGCAGACATGCAATTAAAAATAGTTAAGGTTTACCCAGTAGTCTTAAGATTAAGCTTTTAGATCAGTTTAATTGGCAAAAAGTAGTAGACAATGTTTATTTTGAAATTGTTACTAAATATCTCAAGTTGATTGATATCCTGTTTTAAAATAAAAGAGAAGTAGCACTAAAAATTATTATGGTTTCAATACCTGTTGTGTTAATCACAACACATCTGCATTATAAGTTTGCTTTTTATTGCTCTCAGCCCTTGCCTGGCAGGAAAAGGGCTCTCCATGGGAACTGTAATGTGTGTTTACTCACTGGTATAAATTTAATGAGCCAACATATAGGCTTGATTACAAACACATCAAAAGTCAGAGCTACATATTTCCTGACATATTTTCAAGGTTTAAACAAAGGTGGCAAGTAAAGCCACACAAACCAAAGATGAGTTTAGCAAGCAGCACACATTGTATTGTTTGGTGTCTGATGTGTTAACTAGCATTAGATGTATGAAAACATTTGTGTGTGTGCCGATAGTTCATAGTAGTTACTTCCACAGCCATCTAACACAGCCACAGGCTGTTGCTTGCAAACACCCTTGCCTGTTTACAGGTAGCTGACCCCTTACACCAAGAGAAATTTCCAACTAATGTCAGGCCTTCAAATAGACTTTAATGAGTATCCTGACAAGCTCCTCTAGCACCAGCTATATTTTTCCCCAGCAGACTGTCTCCCACTGATCCTTAGCCGGTATGGGCTCCTCCAGGCTAGCCAGCCTCTCCTCCACCTGGCCGTTCACCAGCATGGTTTTGTGTTCCCTTCTCTGTGGTAACAGTGCCCAGTACACTCTCATCACAGTCTGTCTTGAGTACTGTAATTTCTTGGTCTTGCTTGGACTACACCTTCTCTAAGAATCATTCCTTTCTAATGTCATTCTTTCCTGTGAAATCCTGTCCCAGCATTCTAAAACTTTTTTTTTTAGATTTGTTTTTTAGTCTAAAACTTTTCTTTCTTTTTTTAAATATCATAGGGTTACTCTGTGAGCATTACCCCAATCAGTGCCACTCAAAACTCCATCAGCAGAGGGAGCTAAATAAAAAAAGACGAGTCCCTGAAATTAAGGTCCGAAGCAGGAAAAGTACTTCTAAACAATGACATTTTCATGTACTGCTCAGTAGGGAATAAAGAGCTTGAATAATGTCAGAAATCAATGACTTGTGTCCTAATCCTAGGTTAAAACTTCTAAAAGGTGATTTGTAAAGTGTTTTTGAAAGAGGTAATTCTATATCATGTTAAAAACCTGTTTAGGGGGATGACCTGATAAACACGTATATTGGGAGAAGCAATCTGATGTTTAATTTTTTAAAATCCAGTTTATCTCCGCTCTGAAAGTTTTATTTATTAAGGACGATGAAATGAGGTTACCAACTTTGTGAAGAATTTCGTAAGGAGCATTGAGTCCTAAAGTTGCTAAGGATTATGGATAACCCATTCCAAGTTTTTCAGATGGAATTTTCAAGTAAATTTCTTATATTTTGTTTTGATTAAGTATGTGTATCTTAATTTCAGTTAGCAGACTTGAAGAAAGAGAAGCAGAACTGAAGAAGGAATATAATGCATTACATCAAAGACACACCGAGGTGGGTTTCTGGGCTCTTACATGCTAATACAGAGACAAAGAAATTAACTTTAGAAAATATATCTTAATTTTTCTTTGAAAATAAGTTAGTATAATTCTTGAGGATTATTTCCAGGAAACATTAGATTTCATATAGCATTAACCTAGTTACCAAATGTTGACTTCCAATGTTTTTTTATTTGGAATTAACTTTTCATTTGGTGAATTAGTGTGCCACAGAATAATGTAATTATTAAGACAGTTCCAATAGTTGTTTCTTTGGCTGGCTAAGTAAAAACTTATGTGTGCATAATAAAAAGTATATATGATGATAATATGAGAATTTATTTTTTACCAATTGGGAAATGATGGATTGGTAAATTATTGGTAAGAATCTCTACAATTGTAATCCAGCAAAAAGGACTTACTTACATCAAGCTTATAACAAGTAACATAAACACAAATTTTAATGTGTTGAATCAAAACAACTCTAAAACAGGTTTTCTGCATGAAATTTCAGTATTTTAAATTAATAACCCCAGCACATAATCTCTCCAAAGCAAATTAGAAAATGTACTTGAGGCTTTTTTAACCTTCTTTTAAGGATTCTCTGTCAGCCTGTCATTTAGTTGCTTTTGTTTCTATCTCCTTAATGTGAAAATTGTTTCTGTGTATCATGATCAGTCTGGGGTTCACATACCTAAATATATAGAATTTTCATAGACACATGAACTATTTGTTACAAGAAAAAAGCAATTCCTCTCTTTTTTCCTTTCTAGTCCGATCTCTTCCCCGTGGTACAGATGGTTCCAGTCTTCAGCTCCTATTTTTGTTTTACTAGTTTGTGTGATCTCTTATCCTGCCCCTGGTAGAGACATTTATTGTTGCTTTTAAGGGAGATGAAACCCCACTACACTGAGATTTACTTGCTTTGGAATAATGTGCTTGACACTTTCTGGGGGAGGGGTTGGAATTTCTTCCTGACATGTGAGGCTCGATTATTGCTATCTTAGCTTACATAGCCACACATGAAGCATGAAGTGTCACAGAACTGAAATTCAGTGGCAGAGGGAAGAGATTGGCCACGGAGGGCTGGCACCATAGAGCTTTGGGAAGACAACACCCCTTCACAGCAGCCTTTTCAGTGTAAAACTTACCCACATTTCAGTAAGATGGCAGTTGGTAGATACGATGACTTAAAAAACAGTTGATTGTTAAAGGCCTATTGTTGATTCTTTTTACATCGCTCATTTCAGTGACTGAATAATGCCCTGTACATGGTGTTTACTGGTAGTGCTTATCAGTGCTATAATTATAAATACGTTTAGGGGAATATGAAAAGACACAGTTTTTCTACCCTATTCCTTCAGAAGACAGTCTAGGAAAAAAAAAAAGATTTCAGGGAAAATCTTCAATACAAATTCAGAGAGCTGGGTCTGTGCAGTAGCCAAGGCCAATTTCACATGTAGCTTGGCAGCTGTTTTCGTGGGATCCCCTCCGTCAGTCACACGCAGCTCCTTATCTGTCCTCTGCCCTGGTAGTCTCCCTTTATTTTGCTCTGCCTCAAGGAAGGTTTATGTAACACGGACATAGTTGCTTTGAAGTGTGGGTTGGTTCGACTTTAGTCCACATTTTACTGTATTTAAACATCTGTATAGAAACCCATTTAATTAGCAATTGTAATAGTTATCCAAGGCTAATGAACTAAGTGTCATTTAAAGGTAAATTCTGGAAACTTTCAGGGAAAGGAAATATGAAGGATTTAACCTTCATTTTTTTACTATTAACATCCAATATAAACATCCAAATAAAAAAGGTAACCTTTTTTATAAACACAAAAATATTTAAATAGCACTTTTATCAAACACATTGCCATCTGCTATGGCTCTTTTTATAATGTGAATAACTGTTCTCTAATCAAATCCAAAATGTTGTACACATTACTGAATTTGCTTAAAAAAAGACATGCCTTAAAGAGGGCAGTGGTGGAAATATAAACATCAAGTAATTGTGAATCACTCAGGCCACATGTGTACATACTCTTAATATTAATCACCAAAAACTTGAACCCTGAGCTTATATCAGGGAGTGTTTAAATGCATTCCCATATCATTCTTTGACCAAACTCTATCATCTACCCGCATTTTACAGATTGAAGTTTAGAAAGAGAATATGATGAAGTGATTTGTCCCAAATCCCATGCTAGTGTGTGACTGGATTTGAACCTAGGTCTGTCTGATGCCATTGCCTGAATTGTCAGTAATGCTTTAGGTTATGGAGCACATGGATGTTAAATGCACTAGAAATTTTTCTATGCCTTTTTGCATTATGACATCTCAACAACTTTAAAAATAGTTGCTTTTTGGATATGGATATGTGATTCTTGCCTGCATATGGAAAGATTTAAGGCCAACGTGATTAAAAGGATGCATCGCCTCAGTTTTGCCTTGCTTTTCAGTTTTAGCCCAAGCTGAAAGTCAACCTCTGCTGTTAAGATTTCTCTAGGTGAGAGGGGAGTTGGGATTTTACACACCATGTGCTTGGGATCCTTCTTCATGACTCCCACTATTGCTTGCTGAATTGACTCCTGAATATGTGTGAATTGATGTGCATATCTGAGAAAACTGAGAATTGCAGTTTGGAGATCAGGAGAGACAGAGCTTGCAGACCCAATAGTAGATTATCTAAAGCATGTCATTTTACTCTCTTACCTCTCTCTCTCTTCTATCTGACAGCACTGATCCTGCCCTCCCACTCATTAAAACAAAACAAAACAAAACAACATTGTGAAGCCCTGTAATCAAAATTTAATTTTTCTTGTATAATTCTTTTCTTTTTTTTTTTTTTTTTACTTTTTTGTCCATTTATAGGATATAGTGCATATTTTATTTCAGACGTCAGGAAATGTTTTAGGGTGTGGGATTTTCTTGTAGGTGTCAGGAAGAAAGAACAAAGAGCTAATTGCCTGCCTGGAGAATTGATTGAAAGGCCAGATACACCCTGAGTCCTCTAATGCTTACCTGCTCAGATCACTGTCAGAAGGACCTGAGTTCTGGCCCTCAAGCCAGCTGGCTAAGGGCAGTTGCAACACAGTTGATTGTTAACTAGCTGGTCATATCAGGCTAGTGATTTTAACCTCCTTAAACTGGAGTTTACCTGTAAAATTGAAATATTGTTGTGAGAATTAAATGAAGCAATGGCTGTAAATGCACTGGCTAACTTGTAGTTGGTGTTCAATAAATGTTAGTTGTCATTTTGTTGTTATTCTCCCCTATGAAGTGCTAGTTTAGTTGGGTTGGAATCAATTTCATTACAAAGACCATTTTGGAATGTCAGAATATTATATCTGATATTATTTGGGATCAGTCATTTGAAGAAGGTTTCGAATTCAACATTTTCTAAATTAAAAAAAATTTTATTTAATCATTTAAGACAAGAATAATCTGTAGGTAGACTATTTGGGGATAGAACTGATTCTGTCTCTGCCGTTTATTTACAATCCTTTTCATTTTTCTGTATTGAATAAATAGATTACTGTAAAAACAATCTAGGGGAATTTGTTTTCTTCATCTTAATGCTTAAAGAAACTTAGATTCTTCCCTTTGAACTAATCAATTTCATATGATTACTATCCAGTGTATAAGAATTCAACTTAGGTTTTTTAAACCCTTTGAAAATGTAAATTGATATCTATTTGGCCCAACTATCACTTTGTTATATTAGTCTCTTTTAAATTTTTTCCCTTAAAGTTCTTCCTGATACAAGAAGAAAACAGCTCGTTATTTCTGGCTTGCTGACACAGACAAAAACTGTATTTCTGCAAAACTGTACTTTAAATGGTGGTAAAGAGAAAAATCTGTAAATATAAAATAAAAAGTATGTAAATTTAAAAATACATATCATATATCCATGTGATACTATATTCATTTTTTTTGCCTGATACATTTCTTGTTTGCACTAGTCTTAAGTGGGGAGCAGTCTGATTATTTTATAATGCTTGATTTAATAGAATTACTCATCTTAACTCATACATCAGAGTTAGCTTTTATTTATTTGAAGTAAATAACACTTTCAAATTGATTTACGTATTTCTTATTGTACATGAATGCCAAGAAAAAATTTTACAACAAAAGCATGCTTTTGAAAAATAAATTTTAAATTTTGTTTAACCTTTTTTTCTTTCAATAGTTCTTTTTAATATGCTACAATGAATATTTAATTAATCTAATATTTATTAAGATTGAAACCCACCTTCATATAGTTACAGTTTTGAAATTTCCAAAGCTATTCCATGCTAGTTTTCAGAATTCAAGGAATATCCCCTAGAAAGACATCTACCTTTTTTTTTGCCTACTGTTAATATTTACATTCCTTTAAATTGCTAGCATACTTTTTTTTAATTTTTTTATTTTATTTTATTTTTAAAAGATTTTTATTGGGGACTTGGGGGATGGGAACAGCGCTGGAGAATTGAGAGAAGGGGAACAGACAAGTTGCTGTCCTTTTTTTTTCTTCAGTCTAGTTGTGGAGGACTTTGCTTCACTGGCCCAAGTTGGCACCATCATTGCGCTCCTCCCGGGGGAGGCAGATCAGTCGCCGGCTTGCGAGCTTGTAGACGGCCGCTCACTG